AAAAAAGGTGCCAGCCTTGGTGACCCTAAAAGGCAGTTCTAGCTTGTCTGGAATTAACTAGAGAACGGTGGGTTTCCTTTGACCTCATTCACATATGTGAGGAGCCCTGGCAGTGCTGGGGTGAGATATGGGGTTGCTAACCACAAGGTCAGCAGTACAGACCCATCAGCCCCTCACCAGGAGAAAGATGAGCTATAGGTGTGTGGGAAGATTTGCAGCATTGGACATCCCATCGAAGGTCACAATGGGGTGGAATTGCTTCGAACGCAGTGGGCTTGGGGTTGGGTTTGCTTTTGATGTGTGTATGTGAAAGCAGCTATCAGGATGTTAGGGCAGAGTAAGTGATTCCTGTTCACGGCATCTATTTTTCTACTTGGATTTGTGGTCTGGGCGGTTGTGTGAGTGGAATAGACTGATGTGGTCCTATTCACATTTCAGCTCATTTTCTTACCGTGTGTGGTTGCCTATGATCACATTACAGATCATCTCCCAGGGTCTTTCCTTCCATCTCTTGTTGTTGTTGGGTGCTCTCGGGTTAATTTTCGACTCATTCTGACCTCATCTGACAGAGTAGGACTGCCCTAGAGGGTTTTCTAGGCTGTAATCTTTTGGGGAGCAGACTCACATCTTTTCTCTGTGGAATGAAAAGTGCATTTGAACTGTCAACCATTTGGTTAGAAGCAGAATGCTTAACACTTCCCTCACCAAGGCTCATTTTCTCCATCTTAAGATACTGATTTTGTGTGTTTGTGTTGATTTTTTTCCCCCTGTTTGGACTCTGAATTTTATTTATTTATAATTGTTTTATTAGGGGCTCATACAACTCTTATCACATTCCATGCATACATCAATTGTGTAAAGCACATTTGTACATTCATTGCCCTCATCATTCTTAAAACATTTCCTCTCCACTTAAGCCCCCGGGATTAGGTCCTCATATTTCCCCCTCCCTCCCCGCTCTCCCCTCCCTCATGAGCCCTTGATAATTTATAAATTATTATTTTGTTATATCTTGCCCTGTCCGACATCTCTCTTCATGTTTATGTTGATTAAATGAGAACATAAAGGGAAGTATCCAGTATCGTGGCTCTAAAGGTCATGTCTCTTAAATGTATCTTACAGTATCCAATCTTTCTTCAAGGGATCTTTCCTCTCCTGATTTGATAATTGTCCTAATGTACTGATGACTAGATAAAAACCCCCAAACACTCAGCTGTCATTTGTCAGAAAGTTTTCATAATATATATACAAATATAAAATACCTGCAATATGAAATGTAACATCTTTGTGCAGAACCTGCAGAGCTTACTGACAATTGTTGTTAGGAGTCTTCAAGTTGGTTCCTACTCCTGGCGACGCCATGCACAATAGAAGAAAACCACCTTCAATACTGTGCCAGCCTTATAATTGGTGATATGCTCAAGCTGACTGCTGGCAGCCACTGTGCTAATCTGGTTGAGAGTCTTCCTCTTTACCAAGCATGTCCTTCTCCAGGAGCTGGTCTGTCCTGACAATATGTCCAAAGTATCTAAGATGAAGTCTTCCTATCCTTGCCTCTGAGGAGCACTCTGGCCATACTTCTTCCAAGATACACTTGTTTGTCCTTGTGGAACTCCATGGCACTTTCAATATCCTTCTCCAGCACCATTGTTCAAATACATCGATTCTTCTTCAGTCTTCCTTATTCAGTGTCCAGCTCTCACATCTATATGAGGCCATGGGCAATACCACAGCTTATGTCAGGCACATCTTGGTCCTCAAAGTAACATGCTTTTCTTTTTAAAATTTTAAAATCATTTTATTGGGAGCTTTTACAGATATAACATTCCATAGGTCAATTATATAAAGCAGTATTGCACACTTGCTACCACAATCAATTTCAAAACATTTTCTTTCTTCTTGAGCTCCTTGATATCAGTTCCCCTTTATCCCCTCTCTCCCCCAAAGAACAAAGTGGACGGTCATTACT